AAAGTGCCACAGGCTGCCAAAGAACCAATAGATCTGTTTTGGAAGAAGTGCAGCCAGAGTGCTCCTTAGAGGCCATGATGGCCAAACTTCGTCTCATGCTTTGGATATATTGTCAGGAGGGAACAGTCTCTGGAAAAAGATATCATGTTTGGTAAGATGGAGGGTCAGAGAAAAATAGGAAGACCCCCAATGAGATGGAATGACCAGGTGGCAGCATCGATGGACTCAAGCATGGCAACAGTAGTGAGGTTGGCCCAGGATCAGACATTGTTTCTGTCTGCTGTGCATAAGGTTGCTATGACTCAGTGCCGACTCGATGGTACCTAACAACAACAATGCAAGGTCTTGTAGTGTAGTGGTTATGAATCAGGCTGCTAACCTCAAAGTCATCAGTTCGAAGCTACCAGCCTTTCTATGGGAGAAACATGAGGCTTCTGCTCCTGTAAAGATTTGTAGCCTCGCAAACCCTGTGCAGGGTCACTATGAACCCTAACTGACTCCACAGTACTTAACAACAACAATGGAAGGTCTGTGGTTCAAGTCTATCAGCTCCTCCTCAGAAACCTTATGTAGGGTTACTATAGGTCAAAGATGACTCAATAGCACTTAAAAACAACAACAACAACAACAGCATATATATTTAGTTGTTAGGTATGTCGAGTTGGTATATCAACACATAATGACCCCATGCAAAACATAATGCAACACTGCCTAGTCCTGCACCAAACTCACAATTGTTGCTATGGTTGAGCCCATTACTGCTACCACTGTGCCAGTCCATCTTGTTGATGGGTCTACCTCTTTTTCTCCAAACCTCCACTTTATCAAACATGATATCCTTCTCCAAGGACTGGTCCCTCCTTACAATATGTCTGAAGAATTTGAGACGAAGTCTGGCCATCCTGACTTCCAAGGAGCATTCTGGTTATATTTCTTCCAACACAAATTGGTTTGTTCTTTTGGCAGTCCATGGTACTTTTAATTCTCCAAAACCATAACTGAAATACCTAAATTCTTCTATGGTCTTACCTGTTTACTGTCCAACTTTCACATGCTATGAGGTTATTGAAAACACCATGACTTGTATCAGGTGCACCTTAGTCCATAAACTGGCATCTTTGCTCTTCAACATTT